AGTAATAGGGTATTGGGCAAGTGGAAGGGGGGCGGGGGCGGGTATATACATATATAATGAGTGAGATGTGCACCTTCTGGGGGATGGTCATGCTGGAGACTCAGACTTGTGGGGGGAGGGGAGGAATGGGCATTTATTGAAACCTTAAAATCTGTACCCCCATAATATGCCGAAATAAAAAAAAAAGAATAAAAAAAAACTGTGGTATGTGTATGTATGTATATATATATGTGTGTGTATGTACATACACAGACACACACACTAGAATATTATTCAGCCCTAAAAAGGAACAAGATCTTGCCATTTGCCACAACATGGATGAACTTAGAGGACATTATACTAAGTGAAATAAGCCAGATGCAGAAAGAAAATTATTTCATTGAAAATATTAAATATATGTGGAATCTAAAAAGAGTTTCAAATATAGGTAGGTATACAGAGAGAAGAGAGCAAAAGCAGGGGGCAAGAAATGGAGAGACATAGGTCAGAGGATACAAAGTAGCAGATGTGTAGGATGAACAAATCTAGAGATCTAATGTATAACATGAGGACTACAGTATAGATAATAAAATTGTTCTGTATTTGGAATTCATGCTGAATGAGTAGATTTTAGCTGCTTTTGCCACAAAAACAAAAAAGAATGGGTAACTGTGAGATGATGGATCTATGTTAATTTGCTTCACTACAGTAACCTTTTTGCTATCTATATGTATCCCATAACATCATATTATATACCTTAAATATACACAATAAAAGTTTAGTTTTACAGATAAATAAAGTAAAACGTACAATGATAAATTCGAAACTGTGGTAGTCACATGAAAATAATGAAGCGGAATACAAATTTTAGATGTTAAATGTAAATGAGAGTTTAGTACATGATAAAGGTGACATTATAATCTGGAGGTAGAGATAGTCTACTCACTAAATTGTTTAGGAACAATGTGACTGAAAATTGTGGAGCAGAAGAAAAATCTCTGGATCTTTAGCTCACTGCTTAAACCAAAAACCTTCCAAACCTATCAAAGGTTTAAATGTAAAATTAGAACCATAAAACGTAACCATGTTAACATATTTCTTATATAGTATTTGGAAAAACTTTCTAACATTACACAAACCTAATAGCAATTAAGGAAAATATTGATATATTTCAGATCATACAAAATTTAAAGCTTCTGTAAGACAAAAATAGTCAATAAAATGGAAAAATAATTTTTGCAATAACACCATGCCTGGCTAATTTTTTCTATTTTTAGTAGAGACAGGGTTTCGCTCTTGCTCACACTGGTCTCAATCTCCTGAGCTCAAGCGATCCTCCTGCCACCAAGCCTCCCAGAGTACTAGCCCTTCTATTCTTTAAAAGACAGGAGGGAGCTGCCTGACATGTCCTGCCAGATGTCTATAGACAAAGTATGATTGATAGATGAGGGGGACTGGTCCCACTTGTGAGTACTGGACTAATGTTGTATGATATTAGAGAAAATCCTAAATAGCTCCTCTATTCAAATATAGCCATTCTTACCAGCACACTCCACTCTCTGAGAAGCTAAAATTAGAAATAAAATTTCACAGGCTAGGGTGACATGTCTTCAGTATACCTATTAAGGCTGGATGTGAGAAAGGAGGATGTCAGACAGTCAGGAGCCAGGGGCACTGCAGGGAACACAGCAGGCCTGGTGAGCACAGGGAAGCAGCCAGTCTCATCTCCTGCTCTCATCCCTGAGAATGGTAGCGTCACCTTCTCACTTAAATGTGGAAGCTGTATACATTTCTCCTGCCTTCAAAATGTCTGGGAAACATACTGAAGAAAAAAAGTCTGTGTCTTCTTAAACCCTTCTGTCTTCCTTCCCCAGCTTCTCCACCATGGGAGCCTTCTTTCATTCACAAAGCTCTGACTGAATATCCACAGGCAGTTAAGACAGTTCTGGTCAGAGTCCTCCATGTCTGGCCCTTGCTTCTTCCCTTTAGTTGCCAACAGGGAGGCCTAATGGTAGAATCCAAACAGTTATTTTCTAAACAGGAATCAGTGGTGATTAGAAAGGGGTAAGGGGTGTGTGTGTGTTTGTGTGTATATTTGTGTTTGGTAGTGGATACAGAGCAGGGGTTAGGACCATAAGAAAGAAAAGAAAAAGAATGTGACAAGATTGCTGCCAGTTCTGATATTTTAAATTGACAATAGTAATTTAAAATAAATTAGTTGGTTTCCTTACTTAAATTTCACATCCTAAACATTCTTCCTTGATCTGGAATTCCTATTGCCTACCTTTATCAATAAAATGCCCTAAAAATGAATCCCACTGTGTTAGAGCATATTGTTAAGTATACAGAAGCCCAACTGCCTGGGATCAAATCCCAGTTTTGCCCCTTAAATGTATCATTGAGGAGATTACTCAACTTTTGCCTTACTTTCCCCTCTGCAAAGTTGGAATAATGGGTCATTGTAAGGATTAAACAAATTAATACATTAAAAGTATTTAGAACAATGCTTGGCACTGGGAAGTACTCATTAACATTAGAAATTATTTTCATTTCCCAGTCTTTCCCACCCACTTAGTCTTGCTTCCATTCCCACACTCTGCCCCCTACCCCCCAACACTACTTATCCCCCTGAGCTCTTGCTCATTCAAAGCCTCATCATAGTAGCCACTCTGCTACAAAAGATGCTATTGAACACTTCTAGGACATGTTTGTTTTACCCCTATGTCACTGACTCTTCCTTCTTAGATTTCTTTGAGGCTTCCCCTCTCATTCTCATTCTTCATGCTCTCCATGATTTTAATGACCACTTGTTTACTCTTGAGTCCAAAATGAAAATCTAGCACATATTTGTGGAACTTCACATTGTTTACTCTATTACCTACTTGAAATAAGCTTTTAGATTTTTCAGAAGCACCCGAAACTCAACATATAAAAAGGAGAGGCAATTTTCCTTCTGGCTACTCCCTTCCACTGGGTCCACAGCACCAAGCCCCCTTCCCTTGAGGTCCCTAATCCATTTAATGGCACTCTCATCTTCCTAGTCACCTGCACCAACAGCCTAGGATGCAACCTTGATAACACTCCTTCTTAACTCACCATAACCAACTAATCACAATCTATACATTTCAACTTCTAGACATCTCTCAAATTTCTGCCCTCTTTTCCATAGCTCCTTTTGTCCCTGTATTAGAACCTAAGCATCTTTTTCCTAAATACTGCAAGAGACCCTAACTGGTCTCACTGCCTGTAGTCTTCTCTTTCTCAAGTTATGGTTCTCCATAGATCTGCCAATTATTTATGTCACCCACAACTGAAACTTCTTATTGCATTCTATATAAACTCTAAGTTCCTCAGCACAGCACACAAAATCCCTTCTGGTCTGGTTCCTGCCAACCTTTCCAGTTTTATATACTGCCAGTCCTGTTTAAATGACAGTTCTAATAGATTTTGTAATTGATGATTTGGTATCTACTGATCACAAGGTCAAACTAACAGCCAAAGTTGTTTACATTGTCCCTGTGGCCTTGCTTTTGAGGGTCTGTCTAAATCATATTTTGAACCCTCCAAACACAAACCCTAACATCTATGTTTTATTTTCTGCTTAATTAAAAATGTCTCTACCTAGCTACCCACTGACACATTAGTAAAACAGGCAGAATTCCAGTTCCTCTCTCTTTTCCTGGTCCCTGTGTGTGTTGAGCTTTTATGTGGCCCCATGTGGTGTCAAGCTAAGTAACAGAGAGCGAGACTCTCTAAAAGAAGACAATGTTTATTTGGGAATAGGCATTGCAATGGGAATACAAGGACCTTAGTAAACTAGGTGCACATTCAGGTGGGTAAAGGAAGACAAACGTTTTTAAAGGAAAAATGAAGAGGATTACATAATTGTTTTGAGATGATTATCCTTGGCTACAAGGATCAAAATAACAAGGGTACTGTCAGCCCAAGGTTGGACAGGCAGTTGCTGGGCAGATGTCCTCATGGAAGTATTTTTGTGTGTAAAATTGTGATGGATGTTGTGCAAGGTTGATAGTTTTGGTTACAAGGCATTTGTGCATGAGAACCCTCCTTTCATGGCCTCCCCAGCTCCATTTCTCAAGGTTTTTTAAACACAAGTGACTCCATTTTGATTCTGACAGCTTTCACAGTGGCAATGTGAAACTCTGAGTAATAAACTTCTTTCCATCTTTCAATGATATTGACATCGTCATGCTGTTACTTGGTCATACCTATAAATTAAATCACACATATATTTTAAAACAATGACACCTGCTTAATGACCAAAACTGCAAACTGAGATCCTGCAGGCTGGCCACTGGAGGCCATCAGAAATGTTTTATTGGGGCCACAAGTTTTTGAATGCTTTCGGTTACCTGCCAAAATTTTAAAAGTGGAAAATTTCCCATAAAAACCCACCTTTATGGCTTCTCTTCAAAAACTGGAAGAACTGGCCACCTAGGTCCTACAATACCTACCTGGCTCAGCAGGGTCTGCCCTCTCTCGGCGGGAATGACTACTACAGTTTTCAACAGTCACCGGCTCTCCTGAGCGTTGGTTTTCCTGGTCGCTTCCTTTAATGCAGACATTGGAGTTTTCAGCCCTAGATTTACAGTGTAGGGACACAGAATTACTTGTGTTTCCTGACATGTCATTGGCTTGTACTCATTTTCTTCCACACCGTGCCTTTTTACTTTAACGTCTGCAAAGGCTAACAGTTCCAGTTTACAGCAGCTTTTCTCTGAACTCATGGTGGACTCCGCATCCCTTTATATATTCCCATATCGCACCGCACGTCCATCTGTCACATCTCTTGCCACATTAAATTCAGAGTAAATGTTTGTAGGATGTTTGAGCTCCTCACAAGTCTCACCTTACTTAGCGACTGACTGGAAATCCTCAGCGGAAATTTTGGGAGCCATTTTATTGATTTCATCATTCTTACACTAGCCATAAAGAAGGTGGAGATGACTTACATATCTTACAGGATAAGTGTGGCCCTTGTCAAATAACCGGTCTGCAGGAGCGCGGCGTACCAGAGAACTACAACTCCCATCAGGCACTTGGGGGTCCCGAGGCCTGAAAGAGAGAAAACACCTTAGGAACTACCACTCCCGTGAGGCTCCGCTCCCCGCGCCTGCGCAGAGCCCAGGGCCACGTCACTTTTGCGGCACCAGGGACCACGCTCCTCATCCATGGCTTCTGCGGACTCTCGCCGTGTTGGGGATGGCCGCGGTGCTGGGGGCAACTTCCAGCCCTACCTAGACTCCTTAAGGCAGGAGCTGCAGCAGACCGATCCGACGCTATTGTCAGTAGTGGTGGCGGTTTTTGCGGTGCTGTTGACGCTGGGTAAAGAGGCGGCCGGTGGTTATGGCGGGTGCGGGGTGGGCAGGGGTTCGTCTTTCGGCTGCGTTTCTGCAGGCCAGGGACGCGGGGTCGAGATGGTACCTTGGGGAAGTCTAGAGAGTGAGACCCACTCCTTCTACCAACCCCTTTGCCTGAAGCAGTGTCAGCAGCGATGTGTTAAAGGGACACGAGTTACTCTTCTTTATCCGCCCATGTTATGCCTGAGCGCGTGGTTTCCCTCCTTTCACTACTCTTCCTGCTGAGCTCACCAACTTTGAGCTTCCTGTTTTTGCGAGCTGGGTACAAGGGATAGGAAGATAATGAGATAAAATAGCACCTGAGTTCAGAGTAAGAAGTGCAAAGAAAAGTGGCAGTTGTTAGTGGCTGGCACTCACTGGGTCCCTAGCAACAACGACAGTAATGGTTATGATAGTGGTACCAATCATGCACACATACTACGGGTTAACAAGGCATAATTTTGGTTTTTGTTCTCTGTTCCTCAGTGTTTTGGAAGTTAATCCGAAGCAGAAGGAGCAGTCAGAGAGCTGTTCTTCTTGTTGGTTTGTGTGATTCCGGGAAAACATTGCTCTTTGTCAGGGTAAATGCTTTGATTTACACCTCTGTTAACACCTCTGTTAAACTTTATAGAAAATTTTATGGCATCCCAGTATTCCTGTCATCTCATGCTTTATTTGGTAAAAGAAACTGATGCCAGGAAATTTGGGAGTTAATTCTTGACTTAGGATAAAAAAAGACTCTTAGAAAACCCATAAACTAGAATTGACCATTTCAGTTTTTTAGCCCTTGCTAGATGCTGACACTTAGTACTTATCACATTTAAGGATTTTATGTAACAAGTTTTATTCCAGAATAGCTGAAGACATAGAAAAGCCAGTTACCTATATACTCATAATTCCTTGGTTAACAAACCCTTCTGAGAGCTTGTCAAAGACATTTTTTAAAAGAATGATCCTTCTTTGACATATTGGACTAGTTAGACTTCTTTTCATTATTTATTTTTAATATGTTTAGTATTTCTGAGTGTGTTTTACTATGGCAAATAGACATTTTCTGCTTTTTATTCATTCTTTTGAAAGTATAAATTATTTCCCTTTCACTAAAAGAGTATAATCACAAATTGTTTTTAATGGTTAAAATATTTACAGAAGGTTGGTAAATTTGGCCACTGTCTTCTGAAAATAATGTTGTTTTTTCTTACATTGAGGAGAGGGGAATGAAGTTTGTGATTAATTCGATTTTTCTACAAGTTAAAAAAACAATATGGTGCTTTTTAGCTATTGCAAACTGCATTCATTTATTTGACCTTACACCTAGAAGAGTTATAATCATATTACTCAATTTTGATCAAGTTTACTATCATCTCTTCCATCTTGTTTTTTTACAGTTGTTAACAGGACTTTATAGAGACACTCAGACATCCATTACTGACAGCTCTGCTATATATAGAGTCAACAATAACAGGGTAAGATGTTTGTGGAATGTTGCAGTCTGACCGTCTTACTTTATTGTGATATGTCAGGGACATTTCTAGGAAGAATTAGTCTGAGGATGTCAGTACCTTTTTAGATTATTTTTATAGAGAAACACATTCTGTGTGACAAATTCTGCCCTTGACAATCTGTGCTACAGATTTAATCATGGCCCACCTCTGCTTTATAGTATCTTATGTACAATAATATTATATCACATTTTATTCTTTTTGTTTCTGTGTCTTCTTTCCGAATTTACTGCCATTTTCTTTTATGTTTTGAATAGGTAATACATGCACATACGACAAAAATTCAAAAGATTAGAAAGGATATTTAGTGAAAAGTAGTTTTTCCTTTCCTGTCTCCACTACCCAATCTTTTCCTTAGAAGCAGTAACTGTTACTTTTTTTGTATGTAACATTCCAGATGTTCTCTGCATATACAAACATCTGTATATACTTTAATTTTCTTTCTTTCTAAACACTGTTCTGCCAATTATTTTTTTCTTTTAACAATATGACTGATACAGCTTGGGTTTTTCTTTTTCTACCAGATTTGTACACATAGTACTACCTGGTTGATTAATGAGCTGCATGGTATCCCACTGTGTGGTCGAACCATACAATTAAATTGTTATTTAATCAGAGCCATACTAATAGACATTTAGTTTTGTTTGTTGTTACAATCTTTTGCTTTTACAAATAATGCTGCAATAGATATCTTAAAGAGCATATATGAGTTTATTTCAAAAATACCCATCATGGGAAAGGCTTTTTATATACCTGTGTAGCTCCAGAATGTACATAGTGACTGCCAACCAAGTCATGATGCCTAGTAAGTTTAGAGAATGAGTGGAATGAGGGCTGGGGGCTGGTTGGAGGGATGGATGGAGAGGTGGATGAATTAGAATTGTGATCTTAAGAGACTTTTTTCCCTTCTCCTTATGTTCCCCCTTCCCCTTTCTGGTGCCTCCAGAATTAAACATTGTAAACAAAGATAAAGGGATATCCTTTTAAATGTCTTAGACATATCTTTGTTTTTTTCAATGATGGCAGTCATGGATTTGGATTTTGAAATTTCAGGTTTAGAAGATCATTATTTCTTGGGGTACCTGTACCAGATTTTTTTAAGTGGATATTCCAGGGTATGCTTTGGACCTGTACCTTCCAATACAGTCACTATTGGCCACATGTGACTATTGAGTACCTGAACTATGACTGGTCCAAATTGAGGGGTGCTATAAGTGTAAGGTATACACTGGATCTTGAAGACTTAGTTTGAAAAATGAATGTAAACTATCATTAATAATTTCTTGTTATTTTTTATCACATGTTAAAGGATATTTTGGACATAATGGATTAAATGACATATTAAAATTAATTTTACCTATGTTTACCTTTTTAATATGGTTACTAGAAAATTTTAAATTATACATGTGGCTTGCATTATATTTCTATTGAATATATAGAACTTTATTCACTCCTTCTCTTACCCTCTTTATGTTTAAATCTAGTTTCTGTGGATAGTAATGTATCAAGTACTGCATCTTCTGAATTGCTTATAGTGTGTGGTGCACTGCTGCTTTTAAAATGGAGCGGTAGGTCCCAACCTAGGGTCCCCAGACTCTTAACAGCACTAAAAACAAAAAAAGAAAGAAAAAGGCTAATAGACATTTATCTTTATCTGTAAAGAACTACACAGGCTATCTGAAAGGTCATAATGAATCCAGGTGGAATTGTGTCAAACCTGTATGTGATGCTGATTTCCTTCCTTTGGACTGTGGTTATGGTTGGCTATGAATAAGGTAGAACATCTGAGAAATGATTGAAGGGTTTGATAAATGTACCAGGCCACATCTGAGAGTCTTATCATTAAGCACAGCCACATCTACACTGAACATGAAATAAAGGATAAAGGCTTTTAATGTTGAATAGGACTTAATAGGGTACATAACAGGTTTGCTCAGCAGGGGCTCAAGAATTGGCACAAGAGCCAGGTTCAGTTTCTCACACCCATAATCCCAGTGACTCGGAAGGCTGAGGTGGGAGTATTGCTTGATGCCAGGAGTTTTAGACCAGCCTGGGCAACATAGTGAGACCCATCTCTTTAAAAAAAAGAATTGGCACAAAATATTGACAGAGTTGGAACAAACAAATAGTGTGTCTGGTAGACAAATATTTAAAAATTAAATTAAGGATGGGAATGATAAAAGTGTGTTTTGTTATAAAGATTGGGAATCCCAATAATAGTAACATGCCCTATGACAAATTATAGGTGTTATATTACATTATTAGTTTGTGAATATTTCTTACTGTTATTCGTGTGTTTTTGCTTTTACTATATTTGTACTAGTATAACTCCCAAGCCTCAGATAGACCACACTTCCCTGACTCCCCCAGACAGAGTCAGGTTTCTTATGTACTCTCAGAACAATTATCAAAAGTTGCAATTTTATATTTTTATATGTAATTTTACACTGTGTTTATCTTTCTCATAAATTGTATTAGATAAGGAACCATGTGTTTGCTGACTGTTACATGCCCAGAGGTTTGACTGATGTTTTATGAGTAGAAGATACTCCGTGAACATTAGCTTGATTTGTTAATTACAGTAAACATTTGTTTGATTAATTAATTAATTAGGTGCCAGTCTGGTTCCTGAAGTCTGATACTAAAGGTTTATATTGTAAACAGGGAACTGGACTGAAACATTAATTTAATGTTTTTGCTGCTATCCTCAGGGCAATAGCCTGAACTTGATTGACCTCCCCGGCCATGAGAGCTTGAGGCTTCAGTTCTTAGAGCGGTTTAAGTCTTCAGCCAGGTAAGTAGGAAGGAATTGAAATGGGCTTGTCTGAGTGTGTATATTGAGGCCATACTATCCAGAGGCCAGTCTATATATTTGTTCTGGTGGTATTTGGGAAGCAGCATTGGCGTCCTGGGGTAGAAAAAAATGTGGATGTTGAGTTCAGCCAATTCTAGATTTCAAGCTTTCCATCATTTGGGTTATGAGGATTATATGAGATGATGCTTAAAAAGTGTTTCTCAGTGTTTAGAAAATGTTAATTCTTATTAGCATTGGTTTTTTTTTTTTTATATATTTTTTAAATATATTTTTAGTGGCCAATTAATTTCTTTCTATTTTTAGTAGAGACAGGGACTCGCTCTTGCTCAGGCTGGTTTGGAACTCCTGACCTTGAGTGATCCTCCTGCCTTGGCCTCCCAGAGTGCTAGGATTACAGGCGTGAGCCACCATGCCCGGCTAGCATTGTTATTAAATTTTACATTTACTCTGAAGATGAATTTAGTAACATGTACAATTTAAAATCTGATAAAAAAGAATTTTAAAGCTGCGATTGATCCTAGAAGTTACTAAACTCCAACATTATATATGTCTATTCTTAAATTACCTAAAATTGATGCTTCAAGAAATACAGAACAGTATTTTCATATTTCTTTTAGTATCTGCCCAGGTGTTATTGACTCTTAAGTTCTTTCCTAAAATTCTTACACTGCACTTTAAGATGCTTTCTCATTTTTGGTCTCTAACATTGAAGAACTGAAGAGGAAAATCAGTGTTCCATGTTTCGGTGATTTGAAGACACATTTTAATCTCTGGATTTGGAATACATCTTAAAGTTAATGATGTCATATTTTAATTGGCAGTATTTCCTCTTTCTTAATGGTCCCTGAAATAATGGTCTTTTGATAGCATCTCAGTTTTGATGGAATGAAGTAGTTGATTCTTTCCTTTTTGTTGAAGATGTCTACACTGAGATTTTGTTATCGCTTCCTTGCCCACAAGATGGTGGTGATGAGCAATTTGTCACAATGAGAATGTGATTTTTATTCCTTGGACAGTTAAGAAAAACAGAACTTACAAATTTTGCCATAATTGGGTGTTTATTTCCAATTAAAACATGTTTTTCTCTTTTTCTGTTGTCAATTCTAAATATTTTATAATTTGCAGTATAATTACTCTGATTTCCAGAGAGTGTGAGAAGTATTAAGGTTTTTCATTTTTTTTTTTGTTTATTTGAAACTATCTTTATTTGGCTCTCATTTTGAATGATTCTTTCAGCTGAGTATAGAGTCCTGTTTGGTAGTTGATTCCCTCATCACATTGGAAGGCCTTACTGCTGACTTCAGATACCTGCGGTTGCAGATGAGAATGCTATCTTCAGTCGATCTATTTGTCTTTTCACTGTAGGAAGTCTGCCTGGTTTTACCCTCTACCTATCCAGGAATAGATTTTCTTCTGTTCAGTGGTGGATTTAGCCTTGTCATGCTTGGAATTCAAGTATGCTGTTCCAAACTAAAGATTCTCTTCAATTTTGGAAAATTCCCACCATGATCTCTTCAGGTAGTGCTGTTTCCTTATTCTCATTTCTCACCTCCTGGAACACTTATTAACAGTATTGAACCTTATTATTTCAGCCCTTCTTGCCTCTTCTCTATCATATATTCCAGACCTTTCTCCCTTACATATTGTGTGATTCCCTTATATTTATTTTCTAGTTTACTACATTATTTTCAGCTGAGCTTAATCTCTGCTTAGACTTTTCCTTGAATTAGTAATTTCACTTACTATAATCTTTACTTCTAAAATATGTATTTTTTTTAAATCAGCCTGTTTTTATGCTATTCTATTTTTATTATGGCTTCTAGAATTATTCTCTTAAATAATTTTGAACAGACTTATTTTATAGATTGCTTTATTATGGGGTTTTGGAGTACTGATTCTCTCTTAGGGGTGCCAGCTATTCTCCCTCATAATTATTTATGTTCTTGTGTGCTTTATAATTTTTGATCTAGAACCCTTTATCAAGGGGGATGTGTTATTGATATTATGGTTGGTGTTCTTTAATACTTTAGGATATGAAAGCCTCGTTCCACAAAGGATTCCTATTTCCTTCTGTTGGGGCCACAGGGGTTCAGTGAGTCTGGCCCAGTTTTATGTAAACCTTTCCGCTTGGGGATCTTGTACCTGGAGAAAGTATAAATTCATACCCTATATCTGTGTGATGCCCTGGTGGCCTGGTGTTTCTATTTCTTGTGGAATTTTTTTCCAACCTCTGACCTCCATTAGACTGCTTTTAAGTTCTAGGCTTTGTGCAGGGTGTTCAGTTCCAGCTCCCCAATTGCACATTGGGGGGTGGAAAATCAGTGTTCCATGTTTCGGTGATTTGAAGACACATTTTAATCTCTGGATTTGGAATACATCTTAAAGTTAATGATGTCATATTTAATTGGCAGTATTTCCTCTTTCTTAATGGTCCCTGAAATAATGGTCTTTTGATAGCATCTCAGTTTTGATGGAATGAAGTAGTTGATTCTTTCCTTTTTGTTGAAGATGTCTACACTGAGATTTTGTTATCGCTTCCTTGCCCACAGATGGTGGTGATGAGCAATTTGTCACAATGAGAATGTGTCCTTGGACAGTTAAGAAAAACAGAACTTAAAATTTTGCCAAATTGGGTGTTATTTCCAATTAAACATGTTTTTCTTTTTTCTGTTGTCAATTCTAAATATTTATAATTTGCAGTATAATTACTCTGATTTCCAGAGGTGGAGAAGTATTAAGGTTTTTCATTTTTTGTTTTTTGTTTATTTGAAACTATCTTTATTTGGCTCTCATTTTGAATGATTCTTTCAGCTGAGTATGAGTCCTGTTTGGTAGTTGATTCCCTCATCACATTGGAAGGCCTTACTGCTGACTTCAGATACCTGCGGTTGCAGATGAGAATGCTATCTTCAGTCGATCTATTTGTTTTCACTGTAGGAAGTCTGCCTGGTTTTACCCTCTACCTATCCAGGAATAGATTTTCTTCTGTTCAGTGGTGGATTTAGCCTTGTCATGCTTGGAATTCAAGTATGCTGTTCCAACTAAAGATTCTCTTCAATTTTGGAAAATTCCACCATGATCTCTTCAGGTAGTGCTGTTCCTTATTCTCATTTCTCACCTCCTGGAACACTTATTAACAGTATTGAACCTTATTATTTCAGCCCTTCTTGCCTCTTCTCTATCATATATTCCAGACCTTTCTCCCTTACATATTGTGTGATTCCCTTATATTTATTTTCTAGTTTACTACATTATTTTCAGCTGAGCTTAATCTCTGCTTAGACTTTTCCTTGAATTAGTAATTTCACTTACTATAATCTTTACTTCTAAAATAGTATTTTTTTTAAATCAGCCTGTTTTATGCTATTCTATTTTTATTATGGCTTCTAGAATTATTCTCTTAAATAATTTTGAACAGACTTATTTTATAGATTGCTTTATTATGGGGTTTTGGAGTGCTGATTCTCTCTTAGGGGTGCCAGCTATTCTCCCTCATAATTATTTATTTTCTTGTGTGCTTTATAATTTTTGATCTAGAACCCTTTATCAAGGGGGATATGTTATTGATATTGTGGTTGGTGTTCTTTAATACTTTAGGATATGAAAGCCTCGTTCCACAAAGGATTCCTATTTCCTTCTGTTGGGGCCACAGGGGTTCAGTTTTATGTAAACCTTTCCGCTTGGGGATCTTGTACCTGGAGAAAGTATAAATTCATACCCTATATCTGTGTGATGCCCTGGAGGCCTGGTGTTTCTATTTCTTGTGGAATTTTTTCCAACCTCTGACCTCCATTAGACTGCTTTTAAGTTCTAGGCTTTGTGCAGGGTGTTCAGTTCCAGCTCCCCAATTGCACATTGGTCAGTGCATGTCTCCTGTTCCCACCTGAGCATCCAGACCCCTTTCCCCTAAGGCCTGTTGTCTACAGTTTCCCTGGGCTGCTTTAGCTTTGATATCTCTGTCATATGAGGGTTCTCAGTATTGCTGCCTTAGGTCAGGCCCTACCTGGTCACTCAGCTTCTAGTTCAGTTGCCCTAAGATTCCTCTGTCTTTCATTTAGGCACCAATATTTTTTTTAAAACAAAAGCATAAACTCCACAGGTCAGTGTATCGTGCCCTTTCACTATCTGACTTAGTTTTTCCCCATCTCCCTGTGTACCAGCTTACCTTGACTTCTCCAGGGAATGTGTTTCACTTGTTTGTACCTTGAACTACAGATCAAGCATCCCTTATCTGAAATGCTTGAGACCAGAAGTATTTTGGATTTTCAAATTAGGGATACTCAACCTGCACTTTCCAGACAGTCTGCCCCAATTTTTTGTCTAGATAAAATTCAGCTCAGTTGTTTTATCCTCCTTTAAGTCTTCTTTGACCTGTTCTCATTTAAATGATCTTCCTCTTTGTTCCTGTTACACCTTATACGTAGTTCTGTCCTGCTTGGCATTTATCATAATGGTTCTCTATGTGATATTTCTTGGTCTTTGAGAACAGGCATCATTTCTTATTGTCTTTTCAACTTTAGTCTTTGTTACATAGTAACACTCAATAGTTCTTTGTTAAATGAGGATTTGTATTGTGTGATAACATGTGCACAGGCCTGCATGTGTTTTGAGTGTTAGTCACCAGGATTAAATTTGAAGAAATGAAGGATACAGTTTTTCAAGATAATGATATACTATTGCATGTTCACATGCCAGTTTTTCTTTTTTCCCTTCTTCTTCCAGGGCTGTTGTGTTTGTTGTGGATAGTGCATCATTCCAACGAGAGGTGAAAGATGTGGCTGAGTTTCTGTATCAAGTCCTCATTGACAGTATGGGTCTGAAGAACACACCGTCTTTCTTAATAGCCTGCAATAAACAAGGTGCCATCATGTTTTCTGGCAATAATAACTAAGATTTTGTGGGGGGGGGATTGCTACCAAGAATTCAGTTATCTACACTTGTCATTATTGAGGATAGAGACAATTGCTGTAATGAACTATAAATTGAAAGATTTTAAATCTTAAAATTTATTTCTACTACCCTTTCACCAGTCTTCTTACCAGAAGACTAGGAATGACAACAGAGTGATTGTTACCAATTTTTCTTTGATACAGTGGTTTTTTAAAGATTATAAATTATTTTACTTTACCAAATTTGTCAGATTGACAATATATCATATCAGATATATAATTTTGGAGGGACAGCATGGAGTCAAACAGCTTTACCATCCAGTAAATTTTATGGAGGGGATAGAGTTTGTAGAACTTGTTTTCCTTTAACCTGATAACCATTGAAAACCTTCTAGTCATACCCAATAAGACTGGGCTTTAGTTCCATTACCTGTAAAATAAGATAAACTAGTTGATCTCTTCAGGTCTCTTTCAGATATAAAATTCTGATTCTGTGAAGAGCCTAGAAGTGATCAGATAGTAACCCTAATGACACCTAATCAGGACTGCATTACCTAACCTCTTTATTTTTCTGATTCAGTATAAGGAGGGGAGTTCATGTTTATTTGGTGTGGGCTTTGTGCCAAACCAGGTCTTATTTCTTACCCATAGTGCACTTGATGGTTTAACATACCATCTTAGTATCAGTTGGAAACATGCTAAGCTTTCTTTTAAATGACAGATAGGGTATTATCTATTAGAGTCAACGCTCTTGTTATAATCACAGCACTAGTAGGTTTTCTTTTTGTTAAATGGCTTGGACCCATGTACCGTGTTTCCCCGAAAATAAGACAGGGTCTTATATTTATTTTTCCTCAAGAAGACACCCTAGGGCTTATTTTCAGGAGATGTGTTATTTTCCCCTCAGAGCCTCAGCTTGCAGCACGCACAGGATGGCCGGGACCTGACAGGGGGAGCGCCCACCTTTTTAGTGGGGCTGACCGCACCTTTCCGGTCACCTCTGGGATAACAGCTGTCACCATGGGGCAGATGAGAAGGGTTGCTCCTCCTCTTTACTGCTCCGTGGGACAAAATGCATGGGTTGTGCAGATACGCTGCGTAGCCATGCCCACGTCTAGGTCTTATTTTCCAGGTAGGGCTTATATTGCGCCAATGCTTAGAAATCCTGCTAGGACTTATTTTACGGGTAGGTCTTATTTTCGGGGAAACACGGTATATATTGAATTGAAAAGTCTGTAAGGTGTGGAAAACTTTAGTGAAAGAGCTGAAGTCAATTTTAGGGTCATCAGCATAATAGTTTATAAGCATTATCTTGGGAAAACCCATATGTGCAGATATAAAGCTTTCATAGAGAAGGAACTCGTTATAAAAGCTTTATTTTTAAAAACAAGAGAAAAGAAACTTACTGGCCTAAATAGGAATTTTCTTCTATGTAAGAAATCTTAGGAAAAGACCCATCCTTACTTAAACTATAACAATGCTTTTATTTTTTTACAGATATTGCAATGGCAAAATCAGCCAAGTTAATTCAACAGCAGCTTGAGAAAGAACTGTAAGTGTGAATGAGGGCATTGGTTAATTATATTTTTCAGCACTTGACCTTAAGAAGCATATTCATATTTCTTTTGATTATATATGATTATCACAATTATAGACTGAAGATTAGTGTAAAATATACTTGTTAAATAATTTATAAAAGAAGTAGTGGAATTATAAAAGGCATTAATGGGATATTTATAGATATTTTAAAATGTATGGAAAGAAGATTTACTGAAACCATAAACTCAATTTATTTTACCATTAGTAACTCACTTATAATTGAAATGAAGGTTTTAGAAACTAAAAAATTTTATGCACCAAGTTGAGAACTGTTACTTCAGTGAATGGAAGTGTTTGTTCATCACTCAGTAATGCATGTAAAACAGTGTTTAAAGGCACATGTAAAAAATAATAATAAAATAAGAATAAATAAAAGCTGGGAATTGGAGGGAAAAAATAGAAACTAAAAAAAAAGACTAAAATAATTTAAAACCATTTTAGAAATTATTGACAGAATAAGAAAGGAAAACTTAGGAAGAATATAAAAAGTTATACTGTTTTGTAGCTTTTCATATTATTGTCAAGCTACTTGGCAATATGATAGAGCCTGCTTTGAGTGTTTAAAAATTTGTAAAGTGAGCTATAAGCTTTTGAATTTTAAGGAATCCAGCATGTCTTTATTTTATGTCAATTTATAATAGCAAGCCAAAAGCTTGTTTAGGCAGAAGAAATGATCAACATATAATAAAGCAAAGTTATATTTTCTTATTACTCATATAAGGACTTGAAAAGGATCTGATGAGGAAAAACTATAAATTCAACTTTTAGAATATTTTTTCCCACTGTAATTTATTTGCTCCTTTATTCACTCACAAGCACCTACAGTGCATCTAGTATATGCCAAGCCCTGCACTCAGGGTGCAGCTATAGGAGGACATGTGGTGGGAGTTCCTGTACCGTGGAGCTTAGAGTCTAGTAGAATCTAGTCAGCTTCAGGGATTGACAAACTCCTGCCCACAGCCTGCAACCTAAGAGTAGTTTGACAGTTTTAAAGGACAGATAAAAAAAAGAAAAGAAAAGAAAACTTTGTGACAGAGATCAAATGTGGCCCACAAAGCCCAAAATATTTAATTCCTGGCTCATCACGGAACACTGTTGCCAGCCCTGGCTATGTCTTTTTCAATGGTTCCTGTCGCTTCTGAAATTGGATGTTTTTCTGTTCCCACACTCTTGGTGCTTACTCCCTTGAGACTGTATGTACTGCTTGCCATTAGGCTAAAAGACATTGGAACAAATGGGTGATTTGGTTTCTCTAAAACTTCTCTTGCAATTTTTGGGAATTGTTTTGAAGAAACAAAAGCTATCATAGTGTTATTTGTGTATCAATTTTGGGGTTTTTTTCCTAACAGGAGAGTCCATTTTCCTATATTTAAAACACATTTTCCTTAGGCCATTTTCTTTTCGCTCTCAGAAAAACAAGACAGAAGGAAATGCTCTATTATAATATAAGGCAGTGAAGCAAAATATTGAAAAGTTGTAAATGTTAACAATTAAAATTAGGATTTTGACTAATTTTATTTTAATCTTGAAATTGTGAGAATTAAGCCCTGTTGGTTTTGAGGCATTTCAGGCTTCTGAATAACAAGGTTTACTGTATTTACTTGGCCTTGTGGCAAAAGCTGAATACATGTAATGTTTTCATTTTTTTCCTTAAATTTTTTGTATTGTAAAATATCACGTATAAAGGAGTATATAAAGAATATTAAAATGGAATACCTGTGTACCCACCACCATGCTTAGAAGGCCCCTGTGTGCTCCTCCCCAAAAGCTTTTCCTTCAAGAGCTAAGTAATGTCTAGAATTTTATATTAATTGTTTTTTTTAATACTTTTACTATGTGTGTGTGTTTCTAAGCAAGGCATTGTTTAGTTTTGTCTGGATTTCTTCACTAATTTTTAAGCCACTTTGCAGAATCAAGAAATGCTTTATTTTGTAAGAAAGCAGATTGGCAACATGTATTCCTCTACTTTTGGTAGCAGAAAGGGTAGGGCAAGGCCTAAGAGCCTTGCTTATGCATCCTTTATTCAGGCCAGCAGGTGGCAGTAAGGTGACTGAAATTGAGAAGGTTTTAGTGGCTAAAGAGGTTTCGAGAATAGTAATTATGCCCACATATAGATATGAGATATGGGGTTTGTGGATTCATAAGTTCCATATACAAAGAAACTCAAGATGAAAATAAATACCCTATCTACCCACACTTACAGAAACTTACATTTTTATAATACTCGCAGCATGTATTTTTAAAATATATTTTTAAATAGCATCATTCAGGAGATCCTCTTAGAAGGGGGCCCTGGGCGGAAAGAATGTTAGTATGATCCAGTCCACTGCTGACCTGCTGTCATCCAGCTATGAAGGTTGAACTCCTGTCTCACCTGTCTGTCCAAGAAAATGATCTATAAATGCAAAAGATTATTCAGCAAATATTAATAGCATAAATGACAGTTTTATGATTGTTTTTAAATGAGCTCTGAAATGTTTAGGAATTAATATGATTTAATTGCCGTATAAAAATTCTCTTCCTGACCTGTTTTCCTTTTGTCCCACAGCAACACCTTACGAGTTACCCGTTCTGCTGCCCCCAGCACACTGGACAGTTCCAGCACTGTCCCTGTTCAGCTGGGAAAGAAAGGCAAAGAGTTCGAATTCTCACAGTTGCCTCTCAAAGTGGAGTTCCTGGAGTGTAGTGCCAGGGGTGGAAGAGGGGATGCTGGCTCTGCTGACATCCAGGACTTGGAGAAATGGCTGGCTAAAATCGCCTGAGGAGCAGCGCCAAAGCACAGGACATGGATATGTGTGTGTGACTGACTCAGTTTTGGGAAAAGGGCTATGGTTGTCTGGAGTTGATAAAGAAAAGGTACAAAATGCGGTTAGAGACATTTCCTTATTCTAGAAACAAATTACTGTTGAAACCAGCTTGGAATTTTTTTTTAAGTTTAGTTCTCCCTCATGGCTCCCTTTCAAGCAAGTCACTTTTATTTCACATTTGTGTCTTCCCTTTGTTAAGGTGTGTTTAACGTCTAATGTATGTTTGATGGAGGGCCAAGGTCTTTGTGACATAAGAAGCCGACTCCACACAGAGAGGATATTTGCAGGAGAATATGCTTATCATCTGGAGAGGATTCTTATCCTCTGCTTCTGTGCTTTGTGCCCTTTTCTCTGGAAACAGACATGCCTGTTCATGAAGCCAGTTGATTTCTAGTTGCCCATGAGGGCAACTAGCAATACACGAGCAATACATTGTCTACTCCTTTGTGAATTCCCAGATTTGTAGGCATAGTTACAGTACAGTTTCCCCACATGTGAAGACAGCTACAAAACAGCAGGCCTGAGTGGACAGTGGGTCTGTTCTTCATCAGCTCAGTGACTGGTCCACACTCCAGTCTTAGCACTTATGTTTCAGAAGCTTGTCATGAATCCCTGGAGTCATTCCTAGATAATAGAACTAGAAATGCCAACTCCCCAGATGCTAAGGGTCTGGTGTGTTCTCATGGTTACACTGAGGAACATATGGAGATTTAGATGCTGTTCCACTTCTCTGGATGGCTGAGGGTTCCTGGGCCATCCTTATGTGCTGCTTGAACAGCTCCAGTTTTGCACCCTTGCTAGAATGCTGTGGGATAAATACAAAGTGAAAAAAGTTCTCTGTAGATTTCTGAAGTGCATATTCATTGAATCTAAAAAAAAATAATAAACTCTGCCTTTTCAAAGTGATGTTCTTTGCTGTCCTGTTAAACATATGGCTTTTCTAAATGTTAATACATTTCTTAGTAAATAAAACCACCTGTCTGGCTCAGGACAGCTAAATAGAATGGAATAATGAGTACAAATGGGAACGTGCATTAGGATGCAGGCCTAACTCCAAGTTTCCTGAGCTGAAAGATTGTAATGTACACAGGAACCCTCTTCTATCCCTACCTCACACATTCAGAGACAAGCCCAACTAAAGTTTATAAGGAGACAAGGGTGGCCGTGGCTAAATGAGAAGCTCATTTCAGAGGAGTGCAGCAAGAGCCACAGCAGAGGTCCAGAGTGCCCTGGGAGCCTGCTGCAGGGGCAGCTAGCCTGGCCTTGGGGGGTCAGGGACAATCAAGAATAAAAGGGAGGCGCTGATGACGTCTGAGTGTGGCCCCTGTGTGCAGCCTCTGCCCACTGTTTCCTACGTCCTTGCTTGTGGATCACTGTCAGGTTCTGAGGGTACACGTCGCCTCAGTCCATTGTCACTCCTGGTGACGTACTCCAGGCTCCTGCCCCTGAAGCTCGTGTCAGCCCTGCTGCTGGTGCACGAAGTAAATGCAACGTGAAAGAGCAAAGTCGGACCAGATCCTGTCAGAGTTCTTTGAAAGCTGCATTGCTGCTAGTGTTCTGTCTTTTGAACTCAAAAATCTTGCCCTTTGCCGTATTAGTCAAGTAGTAACTTAAGGAAGTAGGTAAGAACAACGAGCCAGAAGGCAGAAAGGGATGGGATGGATGTGACAAGTTCACAGAGTCACTGGAGCTCATGTGAACAAAATCCATGGCTCGATGCTTCTGTCAAGAGGCATGTGTTTTTCCAACCTCTTTTGTTTTTGTTTTCTTTTTGCTGATTAATAAAGTTATTGGTTATCGGAGGAAGCAGTGTGCTAAAAAAAAAGTGAAGAAAGGGAGCAAGTTGAATGCCATTCAAGGCCTAATGATGGTCTGAAAAAGGAAAGTTCTGTCTAGAACAGTGATTCTCAAATGTTAGTGGGCATCATCAGAATTGTCTGTGAGGCTTGTTAAGCTGATGTGAGGACCCTACTCTTACACATTCTGATCAGTAGGTCTTGTGTGATCTCAGCAATCTGCTTGCTTACCGAGTCTGTTACCAGTTGGAGGGCTCCTGGGACATCCTTAAGATGACCTGGTCTGGAGTGTCGTGTGTGCCTTTGCTGTGCTTTGTTTTTAAGTCTTTGGGCCACAGACTCTCTTTAGCTTTTTTGACAGGGTGAAGTAAGCAGCCAGGTTAGAGAGTCCCTCCTGGGAATTGTGCTGCAGGCATTCCATTTTTGTGAGTTTGGGCCAGGATGAGGTCGTGGCGACTAGCCTTGGGAGTTGGGACGGTTTTGATAGGAGATCAGATGTGCTCTCCACTCAGGTGGTGTCCTCTTGTGGCTCTGAAGGCATTCAACCTAAGCAGGCCCGTTTCTTCATGAGATGGGGGCAAGTGTGGCCAGAGTGGAGAGAGGGATGTCAGGTCATGGGGACAGGTAATAAGGCACGACTATATGTCATAGATGAGACATTTGTAATCCCTTCGGAATATGGAGTTGTAAACTACAAATATGAGCACCAAGACCTCCCAGAATAGCATACCTCAAGCGAATGGCCCTGGTCCCTGCTAAGGAGGGCTGCAGGCTGCAGTGAGATGCCGCTGTGGAGGGGCAGCTGTGATGCGTAGGCCCTGGGCACTACATTGGTGAATATGTCACCTTCTGGACTGGAATCTTCCAGTGGGCATGGAGCACACACGCAGACCAAGAGGGGTTTAGGCACTGACTGCATTGACTTTTATTCTGGCTCTCCTTCCCAGCATGGGCCTTGGTAGCCTGTCCCCCACTAGGCGCCTGACAGTTTGCTGAGAGTCCTAGTTCCTGATCAACAACAGCTGCTGTTGGTGGGGCATCCCTGGGGCCTGCCATTTCTTCCCATGGCCTCTGCCTCACCACCTCCTGGGGTGCCATTATTCCCCTGCAGTCCGTCCTTGGGTGAAGCACTTGGCCATGTTCTGCTGACTTAGATAATTTTAGCCAGAATACTATGCTTTTTCCTTTTTTTTCAAGTTTAAAGTTCAGGACAGAATTGTCAAATCTTCAGCTGATTCATGCCCAGCCTCACCTGAAGGCCATTAGCAGCAATGATGATGCCTACCTTGGGCTGGGTGCTGTGGTTCACGCCTGTAATCACAGTGCTTTGGGAGGCCCAGGCGGGAGAATTGCTTGAATACAGGGGTTTGAGATTACCCTGAATTGCTTGAATACAGGGGTTTGAGATTAGCAACATAGTGAGACCCCATCTCTAAAAATAAAAGATTAGCTGGGTGTGGTGGTGAACTCCTGTAGTCCCAGCTACTCGGGAGGCTGAGGCAGGAGGATCCCTTGGCCCCAGGAGTTCAAGGTTGCAGTGAGCTATGATCACACCACTGCAACTCCAGCCTGGGCAATAGACCAAGACCCCATTTTCTTTTCTTTTTTTTTAAAAAGATGCCTACCTCCTCTATCTCATCCCTTCACATTTAACCACTTCAGTATGAACGTTGACTATATTCCACAGCCACTGATGAACGCACACAGTGACTTTAGCCGGCAGCCCTGATATGAAGGCGCACAGCCGAGCATCAACTTTAGCCTACAGCCGTGATAGGACTTTTCTAAGTTTTCATTTATCAAAATAAAATTGTGAACATTTAAAAATAACGTAATGAAAACATATATGTTACCTATTCTGATTTACATTACAAGTAAAGCTGCCTGTAAAGTAAAACAAGCTTTCAGTGCTTTAAAGCTTTCCTCATCACACAAGAGCAAAACGGATTCGTCGTCAATGCACAGCACAAACTATCGTGCAGACTATGAGTGCCGGCTGTGAGCAAGGTTTCGCGGCCGGTCAGCACCATACTGAAGTGGTTAAGGAAAGGTGATAACTGCACCTGGCTTCATTTGCACAAGAAAATAATCCCACTTCATTTCAACCATAAAGCCTGAAACTATTGCTTACGAGAGCCTTGTATGCATTCGTTCATTGAGTAAATGTCAAGCACTGCAGTAAGCCCTGGAAATACTAAACAAAGCACAATTCTTGCTTTTCGAGGATTATGGTCTGATTCTTAAGTTAAGAAATGTGCCTTTTCAGTGTGGCCCATGCCCCCCTGTCTCCTTAATGTGAGCTCCATCACGGCTGCCCTTGACTCTCGAGCACCGCGTGGGCCGGTGGTCAACTGCCAGCCCTGCAGCCCCAAGAGGGCTGTGCCTTCTCCCGTTGGCCTGTCTTAGGGCCTCCTGGGATGCCAGTGTTCCCCCGTGATCCTGACATGTGAGGCACTTGGCCGTGTTGACTTGAATATTGTTTCAAAAAGCTGGAATATGCTTTTTTTTTTTTTTTTAATTTGAGTTTAGCATGCAGTGACCTCCACTTTTGCACACTGATGAGGAAAACCACCCTGGGCAGCCTCCCTGGATGCCGCAGTGTGCACTTTAGGCAGGACATACACCACAATGCTGTCATCTTCACATTCCTGGCTGGGGATCCCAGCAGTGCTTCCCTAGGCAAGGGCAGGGGCTGCTGGACCGCTGTGAGTGTGAACACCGTCCCCAGAGACCATGCGCTGCCTTTGCGGGGTGCAGTCACGTTGTCCTGAACACCATAACCTTGGGGAATGACTGCTTTCCTTGGAGCAGCTCTATGCAGGCCTCAGCCCCGGCCCGTGCGCTCTCAGCCCGCTGCCTCTTCACACCCTGTACCCGCTCTACCTCACATTTCACAACTGGCCGCCAGAAATAGTAGGCTTAGTGGACAGGAACATCTATTTCCTGTCTCTTCTAATCAGAGATGGCTTCCTTGAGGTGGCAGACTGGAGAGTGTTCTGGAACCTTTAGAACCTTTAAGGTGGAAAAGCAGTTAGTGAAGTTGGACTTGAACAAGAGTGAGGTTCCCAGCACTCCCAGGCAAGGGCAATTCTGCACCTAATCTTGGCCTCTGTGTCCTCTTTGGATTGGTCCCAGAACTATCCCGACTTCCAGGGCACCTCTTAGTCTAGATGACTGACGCCTAAAGGGGCCTCTCTGGGATGTTCCTAGCTGGCATGGGTGAGGCTGGGGTGGCACATGGCAACTTAATGTTGCCGAAAGGTGATTATGTTTCATCTTACATTCTAGCTTAAATAGCTTTCTGGAAATCACCAGGACCAGAGAGCCAGTCCCTGCAGCCACGGTAAGTAAAGACTAAGGATGATAGAGAATATCACACCGCCGACTCTCAGTTCTGCCTGGGGGCTCCCTTTCCATCAGCCTTTAGGCAGAAAGTAGATTATAGGAACGTGTGTGGACTTAATCGGTGTCCCACCTTCCCCCCTTTGGAGTTGGTAGCGAGCCCAGGTGAGTAGGAGGAAGCCACAAAGGCTTTGGGTAGTGGATATACCACTCAGACACGAGAAGAGGGTCTTCGTAGAACGTGAACTTGAGGAAACCCCAGCACCCCAGGAAATATATGACTGCACCACTTAGAAACATGAGACATGAAGCTTTGTGTTGAGAATTAAGACAGTTTATTGTTCGACCAACATGCTGAGTCTTTTCCACATTTTACACAGTTTAATGTGAAGTCAGTATGGCCGCTATGCCTTCTGAGCCCGTAACACAGATGGAACTGCCACCCGGCCGCTCCCCACAGCCAACTGCTTGAAAGGGATGGGGGGGGAAGTGAGGGGAGAAGTGGACACACACCGCGAGACGCAGGCTGGCTTTCGATGCTACGGAGGCTTCCCACCTCCTGAAGGAGCCGTCTAAACCTCCCCTGCAAGGCTTTCCTGATAAACCGTACCCAGCTGAGGTGTCAGCCAGACAAGGGTCTGGAGGCCAAGGAGTTTTGCACATGGAGATCCCAAGGCTTTAGAATACCTAAATAGTTCATTTAAATTAAAAACTGAGGAAAATGCCCCTTGTGCAAACATAATAAATTGAGATTTCTATTGTGCACTACAAGTAGCCACAGAAATATCATCCTGGAATAAAGAGTTTGGGGCACAAAAAAAAAAAAAGAAAAAATTGAAAGGGTGCCCTGATCTGTGTGGGGGCCCAGGACAATCCGCTGGCCTGGGGACTGGCCCTTCTTTGCAGTGGAGGGTCCCAATGCACCTATAGGCTCTCCCAGCTCCCTCAGACACACTGGGAAGAAGCTATGTCCTACCACAGCACAGAGCTGGTCTGAGGAACACACAGTCCTTGGCACAGGTGTGCAGTCCCATTTGTACACACACAGGGGCAGCAATGGAAAGGAAACATCAGCTAAAGAAAGGAAACATCAGCTCTGATCACTCCGACTCTCTGGGTGATCACAAGCAACTCACCCTTCTCCGTCTTGATTTTCCTGCCTGTGACACAGGAGGGGTTATGAGACCTGCACCTCACTGCAGTAGCAAGGTGACAGTGGGGAGAGGTAGTTTGGAAGCTAGCGAGCAAATGACCCTGTTTGGTTGATGCACACAGACATACTTCTGTCCGGCTGCCCCTCACGTGGCTCAGATACACCTCACAGTCCTCGGCTACCTGGTCTCATGTCCTGACATCCGCACCTGCCTTCCATCTTGTGAAGGAGTAAGGCTGCTTGCTCTACCTACAGGATGCCAAAGCCAGCAACACCATCCCTTTACTATCACACCTGGTACTCCAGGACAGGTGCTCCTGGCCCTGGGTAGCCACCAGGACGATGGAGATGCCGTACCCCAGCTAAGTCTGCACTCTTCACTCCCACCATGTCAATCCTCATTTCTGTTGCTCCAGACAAACTGATATGGCCATTGCTCCCCTCCAACCTGGGAACATTACAAAATATTTTTAAGGGTGACGACAGGAAGAGAGTGGCAATAGTGACAGCAGGGAGGCCTCTGACCAAAGGAAACTTGCCCACAGCCACTGAGCAAACTAACCGGGACCCCACAGCTGCAGCTACAGTACTCAAGATGTGGACAGCACACCTTCACATTGGCTCTGTCTGCAGTTGTAAATGCACTCTCAGCTTTTTCCATCTTACACTCAATTTTTCTGATGCCTGTAGAACAGGAGCTTTGCTGACAGCTCTTCTTTGAGATCCCCAAAGAAAAAGGGCCAAAGGAAGAGAATCTAGTCTTTGGGGAGAAGCGCTGAATTACTAAGTTGAGAACAATTTTCTGAAAGGAATCCTCCACTTTGCCCTCCGCTCACTGATCTCAATTCAGCAAAGATGCAATACTCTCACCGGGGGTGCTGAGGCAATTTCGTGACATTTTCAAGAGCACCTGACCATTCTATCATGGAACCTTAACTCTGAGTCAAGATCCCACCTACAAGCAAGAGGACAGTGATGGCAGCTGCTCAAGACAAGAGTCGAGGAACCAACACACGGCTGTGAAAGAAGGTCCAGCCGCCTCACCAGACCCCAGGGAGGGAGGAGCGGAAATCGGGCCTGAGGAAAGGCGGCCAGGGATCGCACGGCATCGCTGAGATGGGAGGACAAGAGGAGGCAGCTACCCTCAGCTTCAGCGGCCACGGGACAGGGGAGAACCTGGGCTCCAGAGAGGATGTCAAAGCATGCAGCCTAGGGAAGGCGGGACTCACTAAGACCACATCAAGCCACGTGACATCTGCTGGGTCTCTCCCTGCTCCTCTTTGCCAGGACGGATAAACAGTCCGTGGTGCCTTGGTTGTGTGTTCACGTGAGAAGGGAAGTGAGTTTCTACTTTGTTTTACACGACATTTTAAGAAAAGCTACTCTTTAGGGCCAAGAAAATAAAAATCCACCTTACATTCACTCACTGAGACCCAGTCAGATCCCTGTAAATGGGGCAGTCTCAGAGGCCACAAGGGGCGGCCTCGCTGCCATCGAGGCGGGACGCCGTGACATGGACTCCCGCAGACCCTCACGAGGTAAGTAAGCACTCTAGCACAAGCACCACTCGGGGGCGTGCCCGTGCGGGGGGACAGTGCCCACAGGGGCACACACGCCCGTGCGTACAGTAAGTACAGAGAGAGATGGGGGAGATAGTCCCGTGGGCTCTTTTTACCTGCAGTTTAACACATCTATGCATTATTTTATTGATGGCAAGACAATCACAAGTTATTTGACAATATTAAGTATTTCTTATGTCAACATGTTGCAGTACTTTTGAATTTCCAAAACTGTTATCACAATGCAAGTTCCAACTTGAGAGCAGGAAAAAACGAGAGTATACATTGAGCACATGTTTCTCTGTGTGAGGATGTGTTTGTGGAAGGTGTATGCACAAGTCTATCTCTATATATAATTATGTACACACATATAAAAACTAAATACGTGACATTTGAGTGACGCCCGCACATTGGTCCTTGCCTTCTGGGAGAGGTGCTCAGTGGGGTCCTGCTTCCTCGCTAAAGCTGTCACACGGTCTCCGGGCCAAGGGTGCGGGGCTGGCCCCACTGCACAAAGGGCAGCCCTGCCAGGTTCCGCTGCGCTTGCGCCTGCCATCCTGCACTAGTTTCTGAGAAGTTTCAGAGTTCACTCCAACAACCTTGTTGGAGTCCTGCCTTGCGGAGGAGTTCACCTCGCCACGCCCGGGATGGCCGTTGGCCCAACCACGACATGCCCGTGAGCAGCCCGGGGAAGCGGGGAGGGTGGGGTTTACGCTCTGGCCAGAGTCACTGCCCGCTGCCCGGCTTTGCGCAGGCTCGGGGCGGTGAGTCTGGGTCTACCTGGAAAGCTGGCCAAGTCGGTTACATCGCGGAGCGAGAAGAGAGAGCTCTCCCCAGAGGTTTTACAGGTCCTCAGGACTCAGCCATCCTCAGGAACGAGTTAAAAACGGCAAGGATGGCTCTCTGGGGGCAGGCTGCAGTACCCAGGGCAGCCTTCCGGAGACCCCACCTCAACCACACGCTCAGGGGGCCACAGCGCAGCCACAACACCCACAAAGGCACCCACAAAGATTTCAACTGTACCACGCCAGTGGGGTGAAAACACATCAAGACATCAGCTTTTCCACAAAGTACTCAACAGCATTAGCAACCCAGGAGCTGGGAACATGTATCTTTCAAAGTGGCGGTTCTGCAAACAATCCTCCCTTCCCCAGTCACTGATGGACCAATTCCATGTGGCGCAGGCTGCAGCGCAGGGTGGCAGCTGCCCAGCATCATGCATTGAGTTTCTCAGATTCAACCCACCTCTGCGTGCTGACTGCCTGGGCGGGTTTGCTAAAACGTTTTCAGAACTACATGTGGTGCCCCAGTCTGTAGACCACGCACCATCACGGCCCACAGCTGCCAATAGCACCCCATCCTTCCAATGGCCTCTTGCTCTTCCGGTCACTGGGCACAGGGAACACAGGGCTGATGTCCCCCTCTGGCCACGGAAGGGCAGAGGTACCTCTTCAGAGGCTTCGTTTAACCAATGTTTGATTTAACCATGGAGGGCCTGGATGGAGGGGCCGGATGGCCTGGGGCTGGAGCCTAATTAAGTTGCTCAGTTAATTGTTTTAATTTACTGGGCTGGGGATGGGAGGAAGGCAGAGGAGGTGAACAGTTCAAGGAGAACAGGAAGGAGGAGGTGTGTGGAAAAGGTTCTCTGTAAGTTTACAAATATACAAAAACAAAAAGCACATCTTTCAAATAAAAATGACTACATTTTTATCTGGCAAAAAGTTGTATACACATGATTTAAATTTTTTTTTTTAAATTTTAACAGTTTTTGGCAATCTTAATAAAGTACAATATATTACAACCAAACCAAAAAATAGTTGTTTAAGTAACAGCTGTTAAGAGTGACGTGATCCCTGATGCCCAGCCTCCCTCCCCATCCCACCCTACTCCTAGAGACAGAGAGAAAAGAAAAATCCTCCCATCTGGATAAACGCATTTCCCCGTAGGAAGCTAACCAATAGGAAGCAACACAACAAGCAAGTAGTGTCACGGGGCGCCAGCAGGGCGGCGCTGCATTAGCAGGAGCAGCCGCCCTCACTGGCCGGGGGCTCCTGGGGCTTGTCCAGCTTGATGTCGATCACTGCGGGCGGCTGGCTAAGGAAGATGACTGTCTCGGAGAAGTGTCACCGGGCTCACGGACCCGCACCCCTTGGCCGCTGCTCTGTCCCCCTGTGAACACCCAGGGACTCGGCTCTCGGCTTGGCTGGGGCAGGAAGGGTGCAGGTCACCAGCTCCCACCCCTCCTACTCCCCCCCCCCCCCCCCCCCAGCCCACATCCGGACCCCGGACCACCCAAAGCAAAGCTTGTCCTGGGCTGTGGGGTCAGCATCTCTACAAAGGCCAGGGCGTCACTTTCTCAGGAGCCTTCCCTGGTGACCAGTGCTCAAAAGCCAGCTCCCACCTCTGGCCTCGGCCCTATTACCTGTCAGCCCCATCCAAAAGTGCGCTGGCGGTAAGGAGCCGCAGGCCCGGCGTGAGCGCTCCGGTCCCAAAGCACAGGGGTGTGCGGGCTTTGCCCTAGCTGGCGGCAGGGCATCCACCCTTCAAGCCTGGACAGCACCTGCATCCTGAGGATGGCTACCGGGAGAAGCCACATCCACGGGGCCTAAGCACAGCCCCTCTCCACGCCTTTCCACTGGTGCCCGTGGGCGCTGCGGAAGCACTTCCCAGAACCAACAGAGGAACGGGCTCAAAATGCACAGCCAGCCCGTCCCTCTGCCCGCCTTGCCGGGCTCAAAACCAAGACTTTATTGGAGTTTTTGGCCTGGCATCAAGCCAGACCTTCTAATTAGAGCTGAGAACGAGGCCCTTTGGTACCTCACAGAATCACTCTTCCTGGACTGGGCTTTGTTGCCTGCTGTAGGCCTGCACCAGGACAGGGGTGAGTGGGGAGGCGTGGGGTGGGGTAAGAAGCCCTACTATGGAACCTGTTGCTGGCATCCTGGGGATGTTTTTGTGGTTCCTATCTGAGGGTGGTAGGAGAGATGCTCTCAGCTTAAGTACTATGAAAAGCCACATGTCTCCTGAAGTTCACATTTTCCCTCCTTGCTTTGGCTGTTAGGAAGCTTAGAGTCAACTTTTTGGCCATCTCTAGTAACAACATGGCCACAGCATGTATTTGCAGTATGACTTTATGTCTGACTTTTCCTTGCCTTTCCTATCTTTATTTTCCCTACGTGTGTGTGTACACATAAACATATATAATTTTATGCTGTTCATGTGTATAAACGTGCACATGTGTATACATACACATCCATTTTTTATACCATGGCAGAGCATAAATAAATAACAGATAATAAATAAGCAATCGCTGTAATCCTAGCACTCTGGGAGGCAGAGGCAGGAAGATCCCTTGAGTCCAGGAGTTTGAGGTTGTAGTGAGCTATGACAACGCCACTGCAGGGCTACACAGTAAGACTCTGCCCCCCCCCCCAAAAAAAGCCACTGCCTTCCTTCCTACGTTTTTACTTCCCACCGCAGCCCACCTTTTGTCCTTTCTACTCCAGTCAAGGAAACCTGCTCCTCCACTCCCTTCTGGTTTTGGCAAACCCATTCCAAGAATGCCGTGCCATTTCTCTCTGCCAGCTGTGCTCCATGGCCCACACTGGCCCCAGCAGCCCAGCCCCCTTCCGCGCTGCTGGCCCAGCTGCAGGCCTCACGGAGGTCTCCTGCTCTTCCCTGGGTGTCCCTCTGAGCCCACCCAGCCCTCTCTCAGCATGGTGGCTTCCCAAAGCTAGCTCTGGTGACAGCCGCGTCACACTCTGGCACAGAGACAAAGCTGCCACAGACTTCTCACTCTGGCATTCAAAGCCCCCTTATGAGTTGACGCCAGCTCGTCCCCTTCCCTCGATCACCACTGAGGCTCTACTGAGGCACCAGATTTCCCCCGTCTTTAAACACGCCCTGTGCTTTCCTTCCTTCCTCTGCCCGTGCTGTTCTTTCCTTCTAGAAATGGTGCCCCCCTCCCCCTCCCCCACGCCCAGCCTCCCTCCCTATCTCACCTGTGAAAAGTGTCCTCATTCTTTAGACCAGGGCTCTCGTGAGAGTAGCCTCCCCGTGAAGCCCTTCCAGGTGGCAACGAGCCCACGCTCTACTGCGACGCACTGGGCGCTGTAAACGAGGCACCCCACTGTGACATTAGACCCACCTTCCAGCCAGGGGCCAAGGTGCCTGGGTGCAAATGCAAGGCTATCTGACCCCAGCGTTATACTCTTAAATGACCCGGCTATGCTAAGTGCCTCTCGGACAGGCTTCTCAACCTCAACACTGCTGACATTTTGGGCCAGTTAATTCTTTGTTGGGCAGGGCGTGGTGGCTCATGCCTGTAATCCGAGCACTCTGGGACACTGAGGCGGGCGGATCGCTCAAGGCCAGGAGTTCAAAAACCAGCCTGAGCAAGAGCAAGACCCCATCTCTACTATCAACAGAAAGAAATTCAATGGCAAACTAAAAATATATAGAAAAAATTAGCTGGGCATGGTGGTGCGCGCCTGTAGTCCCAGCTACTCGGGAGGCTGAGGCAGGAGGATCGCTTGACCCCAGGAATTTGAGGTTGCTGTGAGCTAAGCTGACACCATGGCACTCTAGCCCAGGCAACAGAGCGAGACTCTGACTCAAAAAAAAAAAATTCTTCGTTCTGGGGGCCATTCTGTGCATGTGGGATGTTTAGAAGCATCCCTGACCTCTGCCCACTAGATGCCAGTACCACCTGTTCCCCGTTCCCCAATGTATGACAACTAAAAGCATCTGGAGGCATTGCCACATGTCCCTGTGGGGAGTGGGGCACTACTGGTCCCAGCCGACAGCTACTGGTCTGGCTGGAGCATGGCCACAGCTGCAGCATCGCCTTCTGCCCAATGTGGAAGTTACCTGACTACCATAAAAAAAAATCTCGTGTGCAATTTGAGTCAGAATACCTTTGTACGATGCACAACAGTGCTCACATGGGGAGTCCTCAAATGGAATGCATCAAACCTTCCTGGGAAGTTGGTTAAATATACATCTCCCTGGGTCCTACGCACAGTGGATCTGGACATGGGCTCAGATGTGGCACCCAAGGCCTCCCCACAAGCTGGCCAGCTCACCCCTTCCCTTGATCACACACTGGGGTTCCATAGACCATATTTCCCCTTCTGTAATCATGTCCTATGCTTTCCTCCTTTTCTTTGCTCGTGCTGTTCTTTCCTTCTAGTAGTGATCCCCCCTGCCCCACACCCAGGCTCCCTCCTTATCTCACCCGTGGGAGACTCCCAATGCATGGACACCTGGGAAACCGATTCTAGTCATAATTCTAGAATAGCACTATCTAAACATTTTTTGTGATGATGGAAATATTCTATATCTGCACTGCCCAACCTGTAGCCATTAGCAACATGGGCAACTGAGCTCGCAAAAGGATGCCAGTGCAAGTGAGGAACTGACTTTGTAATTAACTAATTTAAATGTAAATAGCCACATGTGGCTACAGTACTAGCGAGCACAGGTCTAGATCAGCCTCACCCCATAAAGAGGAGGCCCCACACTGTATGCGGCAGTCCAGGGAAGGCTGGGCTGGCGACGGGGCGAGCACTCGCCCACTGTACCAAGTGGACAGATGGCTTCTCCTGTCCATCTTTCACTCACACGTCAGAGGAAAAGGATACTCCCTTCTTTGCTTTTCTCCTGGACATTCTCCATTCCGGGCAGAGCTGAAGCCACACGTCGAAAAAGCTGGAGAGATGAGGAGAGGCAGCGTGAACCCCACCCTGGCCTTCTCTCCCCCTCCTGACCTGGGGCTCCCCTCTCCTGTCTGCCCGCTGGCTGTGGCCCTTGCAGGCAGGGGCTGCACCCGTGTTCCCTCCCTATCCTCCGTGCCTCCTCCAGTGGCCCCGCAGGTCTCAGTGCATGTTTGTGGAAGGAAGGAGCAAAGCTGGAGCCTCTCACCCAAGCAGGCTGGCCTCAGGGTCACCAGACTGAGCATGGGTCACGGCAGTGACTGCAGGGACCTCCTCCAATGTGGAAACGATCTGGGCCGCCAGAGAGACAGGCTCATAGGCGGGCTTCTATCCATGGCCCTCGTGGGGACCAGGCATGGGGAACCAGCTTCCAATCTGCCCCTGAGACTAAGGCCTCCCCTCAGGGAGTCCCGCCAGTCGGTCAGCTGGGCACTGGGAGCTGGGGCCACATGGTCACAGTGGCGAGGCTCCTCTGAGGACGTGGGGGACATGAGAGTGTGAACGTGATGCTGTGGGTCTGTTTGTGTGTGTGTGTGTGTGTGTGTGAGTGTGACGTGTATTCTGTGCAGGGGTACGTGTGGGCGGGACGTGTGGCGTGTGTGGTCTGTCTGTAGGGGTGTGTGCAGAGTGTGTGTGTGCTGTAAGTGGCATGTGTGCAGGTGCAGCATGTGTATTCTGTAGGCATGCAGAGGAGTGTGTGAGTATGGCATGTGTGGATGCGAATGCGTGGTCTCCGTGTGCGTGTTTGTGTAAGTGTGGGGGAATGTGTGTGGTGTGTGTGTGGTGTGTGTAGGCATACATGTGGGTTTGTGTGTATGTTGGAAGAACTGTGTGTTGGGTGCGTGTGTGTGTGTGTGTGTGTGTGTGTGTGTTGGGACAGAGGTGGGCAGTGGGGGGCAGGTGGGGTGATGGCAGAGATGGAATGTTGGAGGTGATAGTACAAGGCACACAAGACTCTGAACTGCTATGGTCCGAATGCTGGTGTACCCCCCAAATTCCTGCATTGAAACCTAACCCCCAATGCAACAGTATTAGAAGGTAGGGGTTTAGGAGGCGAAGAAGTCACAGTGGTAGTGCCCTCATGAATGGGACTGCTGCCCATATAATAGAGGCCTGAGGGAGCGTGTGTGCCCCTTCCACCATGTGAGGCGCAGTGAGAAGGCACCACCCGTGAGCACAGGCCTCACCAGACACGGAATCTGCTGGCACTTGATCTCGGACTTCCCAGCTTCCAGAACGGTGAGCAACAAACTCCTGCAATCTACAAGTTTCCCAGTCTGTGGTAATTTGTGACAGCAGCCTGAATGGACTGATCACGGACTCCCCCCCCCCACCCGTTCTCCCCATAAATACCAACTGCAGGAACTCGGCGGGCTCTGGGCTTATGCCCTCCACTGCCGCAGCTCTCTGAGGACAGGGTGAATCTTATTCATAGCTCGCCCCAAAGCCCAGCCCTACCCGAGCTTCCAGGCTGGTGGCAGGGCTAAAGGCAGTGAGGGGGAAGCTGCTGAGGCCCAGCAGGGTGTGGGATCCTCGTGGGTGAGCGGAGATGGGTGAGGGTGTGGAGGGCCCGGGTCATCCCTCCTGAGCTCTCCTTCATGGCTTGCCCCAGGTGGCCCTGGTCTGCCTGTCTGACTGCCAGCACGGTCACAGCCTCTGCCAGTGGCCAAACTGCCAGTTAGAAGGATGCTCTTGGGGTCAGGCAAGAGTCTCGGTGAGCAGATGCAATCACAGTTAAGAGTCCAGGAGTCTGCACCGCAGGGAGGCTCCTTCTCTGAACCACGTGCGGTTTGAATTGAATAAATTTAACTCCTGTTCAAACCAATGCCTGGGCTCCAGAGCCTTCTGGGAGGGGGAAGCATTTGCCTGACCCTGACTGCTGGGGCAGACGTACCTGCCCTATGGCCCACTTGGTGCTGCCCTCTGCTCCCCCACTTCCCAAGACTTTGCATCAGGGCCCCAAAGAGCAGCAGCCCAGCCTCCCCTGCATGCCTCCAGGGAGCATGGGAGGATCGTAACAGCTTCAGCCTCACACCACAGGGGCTGGGAGTGCAGGGAGCCATGCCCAGGGCACTCCAGGGTAGGGTGAGAGCACTGAGTCCTGGAACTCTGGGGCCTCCTAATGTCGCTGCAGTGCCCCTCCCACTCTGTCTCTCCCTACTGCTCTGCCACTTCACCGTCCCCACTGCCACCAGCACCATGTGTATGGGGCGAACCATCCCTGCACCTGGAAGGCCAGTAGCTGCACGGGCAGGTGGTCGAGTGTTCCCCACAATGCTGGGGTGGCAGGGCACAGTGACCACCGCCAAGCCAAGTCATGCTCCCCATTCGGTGTTCCCTCCACACAACACAGGCACCCTGCTGTCACACCTTTGCTCACTGTCACCCCTGCTTGGAATGCCCTCCCTCCTCACCACCTCTCCAAGCCCTCCTCATCCTCAGCAGCAGGGGTTCCTAACCTTCTTGTAAGCCAAGGACCCCTCTGGCAGCCTGGTGGAGCCTACGGACTCCTTTGCAGTGTGCAAAATCAATTACACAGGATTGTAAAGAAAACCATTTAGTACTGAAATAAACTAAATGAAATAAACTAAATAAACTAAATCACAGATGCTGCTGTGACACAGCAGCATCTGTGCTTCTTTATGAACCTATTAAACAGCAAGAATTAGCAGTAGGTCTAATAACTATAGTGGTACCGAAGTAGTGATGCGTGTAAAGTTCGAGACACCTGCAGCCTGGGAGGAGATAAGAAAGCACCTGTGCTCTCCATGGATGAGAAAGCCACAGGTACGGCTACTCGTACTGAATTGCGTTGCCCAGGTCATCACTTGACGGAATGCTAAAGGCGGGTTAGTGGCTAGTGAAGGTAAAGGTGTAATGTTTTCCAGCCTGTCTGCTGATCTGCAGAATCGCATCCCTGGACTACACGGAAACCAGGCAGAGCACCCCTGCTCCCAGGCTCAGCCCTCGTTTCACCTCCTCGCCCTCCCATGAGCTCCAGCCACGCCACACTGGGCTTTTTTCTCCAAGTCTGCATTACCCACCGTGGCCCCCAGCACCTGCCAGGTACAAGGCATGAGCCCCAAATGCTGATCAGATTGAATTCCCTGCACCCCTCATTGAAAGGAAGGGAACCACTGCTCCTCTCAGCCCCTGGAAGCCGGTGGCTGGGCACTCTGCCAGCCTGCTCCAAAGCCTTGGTGGGTCACTGTCGTGCTAGCCAGGGAGTGACATTCTCCCGATGCCCTGTGGGAAGCGCTCCCTCCCCTCCACAAGCTCTCCCAGCTCTGGTGGTTAGCTTGCTGGGCTTGGGTGGGTTTACCAGTGCTCTGGTTGGCTGCCCCAGTCCCTCAAGGCAAGGCAGGAGGCTGGGGCTGACCACACCTGAAGCCCAGCATGGGCCTCCACAGCACCAGGTGTGGCCTCACCTGCTTCACGTTGTAGCCGGTCTTCGCGCTGGTCTCGATGAACATGACGCTCAGCTCTTTGGCGCGCTGCTCCCCTTCCTCGATGGTTATCTGCCTGGAGACGGGGGAGAGGGAACATCACTGGCGCAGAGGGGCAGCCCCTGGCGGAGGTGGGGGGAGTGACCTGAGCCGAGGGACCCGCCCGGCAGGGCAGAGGGAGCCAGGCCTTGTCAGCCACGAACAGGGTCTTATCCCAGGGGTCCCTCCCAGGGTACCAACCACGGTCTCCAGGAATAAGGGCACCAGGGCACAGGACACTGGCCCCTTCCCCCACTCTTCCACAGGGTCTTCTCAGCTTCAGAGAAGGCCTGGGGTGGGTCTGTCCCCAAACTGCCTTTCCCCGTGGTCACTACCCCAAGGGCCTTGTTTGTGAAGAGCTTTGAGCAACACAGTGTCACCTCTCTGGGTGGTGCATCACTCCCATTTCCAAATGAGGACACGAAGGTTAAAAGTGACTCCCCCGAGTCCACAAAGCTACTTAGCAAAGGAGCTGGAATGTGAGCCCAGTTTTTCTTACTTTAAGCACAGGACTCTAATAAAGCAAGCTCTAATTCAGATTATCCCTTAGGTGGTCTGGGGACATTGCAGGAAGGCCAGCCTGCATGCTGGAGTCCATGACCTGCTGCTTTATCTGCCCAAGTTGGGGTCATGTGACATGCGTGGACAAATGCGTGTAAACGGTACCCAGGTTGGCCCTGTGCACCAGAGGGCAGCCATGGAGAGGCCTCTTCAGAGAAAGCTTCATGCTAGACACAGCCACAAACCAGGCCGAGGGGGCTGGGGACACATTTGTGGCCTGCAGGCATTCTGCACACTCACCCCTGGGGCCCAGGGCATTCACACCCCCTTTCACACCAGTGCAGGCACTTCACAGGGGCAGGGCACAAAGCGCAGCAGAAGCTACAGGCGCCCAGAGGACTGCTGTGTCTGGGGCCATGCTGTGGCCATGGCAGCGCCCCAGACCACACACTGCTGGGCCAGGCCAGGCACGCAGAGCTCCGTGCAGACGGCATACTGAGCAATGCCTTGCCTCTGTCTAGTGGGGAGAGACAGGGCTTCAACGATGAGGCACCCACAGGTGAGGGGTCTACCAGGTGTTTCCAGAGGCCTTGGTGTCTCTAGGAAATTTTCCTGGATGCACGGGGACAGGTCAGAAGCACAGACGCACCACCCACGCATCCCAGAACTCCCTCTCCAGGCGCAGTCAGAGAGGAGGGCAGGGTGGGCCCCTGAACCTCCGCCCCTCGCGCCTACCTCTTGTCAGCCAGGTCCGTCTTGTTGCCCACCAGCATGATGATAACGTCACTGCCCCGCTCTGTCCTGACGTCGTCAATCCACTTAGAGGTCTGCTGGAAGGAGTTGAGATCTGGAGGCAGAACGTGGGGATAAACTGGGGTGAGAGCCGGCCCCCAGCGGGAGAAAGAAAGGGGAAGCGTGAGCCAGGTGAGTGTGTGCCCTCAGATACCTGGGACAGGTGTAAAGTTCACACAGGCCAGCTGGGCTGGGCCACCCATAAGGTGCCAGGCCCCGCCCCATGGCCCTGGGGAGCCCCAGCACTGCTCAGCTGCTCTTTGTGGGAGAGCAGTGACCCCATTTGGAAGGTCACCGAGTCCTAACTAGCTATATGGAAGAGTGGCTTTGGGGGCCTGCCTGGAAGTCAGACCTCGCTGGGGCTCAGAGCAGAGAGCGAGAAGTGAGCGCACTGGACTTGGCTGAACTTGCAAGCAGAGAGAGGTGGGGAGTGAACACAGCAGTCCCCAGGGAAGGAGGGGTCCTACAGAGTGGCCTCCCCACCAAGCGGGCTCAGGGGAGCCTGGGAGAGGCCAGAGGGTTCTGAAGAGATAGGAGGGAAGAGTGGCCTTGGGGCTAGAGTCAGGGGAGCCAAGAGCACTCGCAAATCCAGAGGCAAGGCCGTTTCCGGACAGCCTCACCTCCCTCATAAGGCAGGTCTTGCAGAGACGAGCAGTCGTGAGGTGATGCCACCGCTCAACAGCGGGTACAGCCGAGGGGAGGGGAGGCAGCCTGCCCTGAGAAGCCTCAGTTTCCCAAAGCCCTGTCGTCCTTCTGATGGGCATCAGGCTGTGTGAGCCCAGCTCCCACCTGCACTCAGGTGTGGAGGGAGCTGTGGTCAGAGAGGATGTGAACAGAGGGAGCAGGCAGAGCCGGGGACACAGGCTGGACAGTTGGGGCATGGCTGTGGATTGCACACACAGGGTGTCCGCCCACCTCAGGGGTGAACATGGCCCGAGGGTTTACCAAGGTGTGGACCACAGGCCAAGGGCTTACGATGGAACCACTATAGCAGGGAAGCTGGGGCTCTGCATCAGCCCCCACCCAACCCCAGCCCTATGAGCCCCATAAGCTGTACATCCTGTTAGGAACCCCTGCTCTGGCCAGAGAGCCACAGTGTGTGAGAAGGGCTCCCAGACCCCCTCAGCCTCCCCTCCCAAAGAGCCCTGCACAGCTGCCAGGTCACACTGGCCCAGGGACCAGAGTCTTCTCCCATGGTCACACACACACATATAGAAGTTGCTCTGTAGGGGTCTTTCTGGAAGCCAGGGCAATGAAGGGTGCAGAAGGGCTGTAACAGGGCTTTGTGAGCATCTGCTCACCCCACACACCAGCCCCTGCTCTGAGCAGGACCAACCCCTCCCTGCACACCCCTGCCCATTGCAGGAGGATGGGGGACAGTGGAAAACACACTGGTGTTTAGAGGCAACTCTCCACCCCACTCCGATTGTCCTGCATTCAGGGGAAAATCACATGTGTGTGCATACATGTACATACACACAGGCCTGGCCGGGGTCATATCCAGGCCCTGGAGCCCCTGCGGGCCACCCTGCCTCAGGCACAGACCCTCACTCACTTGTGATGTCGTACACCACCACAGCCACCGTGGAGTCCCGGATGTAGCTGGGGATCAGGCTGCGGAATCTCTCCTGGCCAGCTGTGTCCCAAAGCTGCAGTCGCACCTGTTGTGGGGAGGGCAGCACCGTGGGCAGAGGGGTCAGTGAGGTCTTCCTGGTGGGGGTGGGGTGGGGGCAGGCTCTGCCATGCAAGGTCAGCATGGGCTCTCCGTGGTGCCCAGCTAAGGGTTCCAGGGGATAAATCCAAAGGAGCCCTCCCCGTCCTCCCAGTTCTAAAATTAGGTGCTCACCGTACGGTCCTCCAAGTACATGGTTTTGGACAAGAAGTCAATCCCAATGGTTGCCTGTTAGAGAAAAGCCCAGAATGGTCAAAACTGAAAGATCTTGTGCACAAGGCAAAGGCCCAGTGACCCCAGGCGGTGGCATAACCATCCATGTCAGGTCGAGTGTGCCCCAATCTGTCCTCCCTGCCCTCCACCCACCTCTCAGGGCCCTCTCAGAGGAGGCAGTATGAGCTAAGGAAGGATAAGGGCAGTTTTCTTGGGGAGAGCTACGCTTTGGAGACAAAAAGTGCTTTGGGAACAGGTGAAAGTGCAATGGTGAGGAGGCATCCCCAGGAACAAGGGCACTGCAGCTAGTGACCATCTTCTGGCCCCACACTCTGTGGGGGGGTCCATGCCTTGCTCCCTTCACAGCCTTCCCTACAGCTCCCAGAGCCTCTCCCCTACGCCACAGGAGCGAGGGCCTGGGTTCAGCACTGGCCTGGCGGGGAGGGGGAGGTGTGTGGAGCAGATAGTAGCATGGCTTCCCTCAGGCAGGGACATCACAGACTACCCAGGGCAGCCTCTCACTGGGAAGCCCCACTGGCTCTTCTCTCCCCAAGCCAACATGCTGGGAGCCAAGCATAACCAGCCTCCCAGCACACCTGTGCTTCTTCAGTCCTGGCACCAGGGAGAGGCAGCCAGCTCTGTGGCCATATGGCCAGGACCTGCCACTCACTGGCTACATGGCCTTGGGCAGACCACTGGACCTCTCTGGGCCTCACCTGCACTCAGTGCCTGGGAGTCAGGATGAATGGCTCAAGGGAGCTCCCTGGCCCCTATCTGCCACAGTGAAAGAGACAGTGTTCATCCCTTTCACTGAGGACACAGCAAGAAGGTGCCATCTTTGAAGCAAAATAAGCCCTCACTAGACACTGAATCTGCTGGCACCTTGATCTTGGAATTCTCAGCTTCCAGAATGATAATAAATTTCTCTTGTTTATAAATTACCCAGTCTAAGGAATTTTGTGGTAGCAGCCAAAATAGACTAAGACATGCATCTTAACAAAGCCTAAACATGGTAAGTATTCACCCACTAAAAAATGTTAGCTACCAATAATTTAATTGCATATTAAAATAAACTTCAACACTATTCAAAGGAAGGTAACAGAATCTAATCATCTCTATAACTTAGTGTGTCCACTACACAATAAAAAGGACTAGAAATATGAAGAAGCAGGAAATTCAAGCCATAATTAGAGAAAACACTCAATAGAAACAGACCTTTACATGACCCAAATGTTGAATTAGCAAACAATAACTTTAAAACAACTCTTATAAATATGCTAAAAAATGTATATTATGGTGGCCTTTCAAGAGAAATATTTAAACTCTAAAACAAAAAGAGAATCTTAGCACTAAAAACTATAATATCTAAATAAAAATGCACTGGATTTAAATAATAGCAGCTAGGACACTGCAAAGGAAAGGTCAGTGAACTTGAAAACAGGCCAAAAGAAATTGTTCAAACTGAAACACAGAGAGAAAGAGGATATAATAAAAATGAACAGGGACTCAAGCACTTCTAGAACAGTGAGCTGATATATGTGCAATTTGAGTATCAGAAGGAGAGTAGAAACAGACTCAAGCAACAAAATTTTTGGAAAAATAATGGCCAAATATTTTCCCAATTTGATTAGAAACATCAACTCACAGTTCCAAGAAGCTCAGTAAACCTAAAACAGGATAAATACAAGGAAAACCACATCTAGACATGCCATAGTCAAATTGCTGAAATCCAAATATAAAGAGAAAACCTTAATGGCAGCCAAAAAACCTAAAGATACATTATATACAAGGAAACAATGATAAAAATTATGGTTGATTTCTCATCAGAAACAATGGGGGACAGAGACAAGGGAATAATAACATACCTAAACTGCTTAAAAAACAAAACAAAACACATACGAAAAACACCGTGATCCTAGAATTCTACAGCCAGTGAAAGTTTCCTTGAAAACTAAAGGCAAAACAAAAATATTCTCAGATGAGGGAAAAACCACATAATACGCCACTGGTAGGTCCTCATTATAAGAATGCTTTAGGCTAAAGGGAAATTTTATAGACAGAAATTTGAATCTTTAAGAAAGGAATACAAGAGCACCAGAAATGGTAAATCTATGGGGGGTAAATATAAAAACACGCTACTTGTCCTTGATTGCTTCCTACCACAGTAATAATGATAATCACAGTAACAATGACTAAACATCTGAGTACTTATCATTTAGCAGCTATTGTATTAAGTGTTTTAAATGCATTATTTAATTTGATCCAGATAACAGATCTATGCTATGAGTTAGGCTCTTTTGTATTTTACCTCACTTCTAAGAAAACTTGAGTATAAAAGAAGTTACTTGCCTCCTCGTTAGCACAGTGGTGAATAAAAACACAAAGAAAAAGAAAAGAAGTGCTATATCACCATTGTTTCTTAGAGCTGAATAGTACTCCATGGTATACATATACCACATTTTATTAATCCATTCTTGAATTGATGGGCACTTGGGCTGTTTCCACAGCCTTGCGATTATGAATTGTGCTGCTATAAACATTTTCCTGGTTAGAGCTGGAACCCATATTACTAAGTGAAGTATCCCAAGAATGGAAAAACAAGCACCAGATATATTCTCCAGCAAACTGGTATTAACTGAGTAGCACCTAAGTGGACACATAGGTACTACAGTAATAGGGTATTGGGGAGGGGGGGAGGGGGGGCGGGTATATACATACATAACGAGTGATATGCGCACCATCTGAGGGATGGTCATGCTGGAGACTCAGACTTGTGGGGGGAGGGGGGAAGGGCATTTATTGAAACCTCAAAATCTGTACCCCCATAATATGCCGAAAAAAAAAAAAAAAAAAAAAGAAAAGAAGTTACTTGCCCAGTGTCAACAGCTAAAAGCGGCAGAGTCAAGACTTAAAGGCGTTTGCATCGTTGTCTACATGTGCCCAGCCTTATCCCCATCTGCCTCCAGGCTCTGAGTATTGGCTTTTCCTCCTAAAGTGAGCCTCTTCCTGGGGCTCTTCTTGGCCCTGGTCTTTTCCTCCCAGATGATGCTCTCTCAGCCATCTCCTTTCTCTTCTACACCTGGATCTCTCATGCTCTACTCACTCTTACCTTTCATCCAAGAAACAGTCTCAAGATTCTCAGATATTTGGGAAGAAAAATCCCTCTCTGTCACTAGTTTGCTCTCTAGCCATCTGCCAATCTCTCAACTCTCCCCAACGGGCATGCTTCTTGGAAAATGACCCCAAGCCCACTGTCTCCACGCCCTCTCCCCGTAACCACTGCTTAACTAGGGCAGTCTGGTTTCTGTCCCTCTTCCCACTACAACTGCCCTTGCTAAGGTCATTAGTACTCACTGCATCACCAAATTGTAAGGAAACCATGTAGACCAGAGTCTACCTGACACACCCGACCCTGCTGATCATTACTCTGCTTTGACACTTTTCTCCTTTGCTTCTCACGACTCGGCTTGTGTCTGGCTTTCCCTGCCTCTCTAAAGGCTGCACCTTCTTAGTCTCTTGTGGTATCCTCTTCCTTTCTCTGTCCCTAAAATGTTGGTATTTCCTACTGTTTTTTTTCAGGGGGACCTTATTTACTCTCACAGCTTCAAATATGATACACTGATGGCTTCCCAATATATACCACGGGCCTTACCTCAGATCCATGTGTCCAACTGCTTACTGGACATCTCTAATTATCTTCTAGATATCTCACTAAATATAGTATGTCCCCCAAAGGAGCTTATCATCTCCCTCCAAACCCGCTTCTTCTATTTTTCCCTATCTTAATGAATGGATCTCCAACACCCAAGCTGCCCATGCCTCTGGGAGCCCGGAGCCCTTCTGAGCTGCTCCTCTTCACTTGCTCTCTTGTCTGCTCCCCCATAGTTCATGAATACTAAACTAGTTACTTGGCCTTCTAAATGTTTTCACCAGTCCCCTTCATCTCCATCTCCACCACCACTGCCCTAGGTTAGACCTTGAACCTCTTTTACCTGAATCACCTCAACAGCTTCCTGACTGGCCCCTATGCCCACAGGCTCTCCCCTTGTAGTTAACTTTTCATATAGCAGCCAGTGTCTCTTAGTCCGTTTTCTGCTGCTGTAACAGAATAACACGGACTGGGTAATTTACAAAGTAAAACTCATTTCTCACAGTTCTGGAGGCTGGGAAGTCCAAGAGCATGGCGCTGACATCTGGTGAGGGCCTTTAGGCTGTGTCATCCCATGGCGGGAGGTGGAAAGGAAAGCAAGCACGTGAGACAAAGAGAAAAAGGGGGATGAACTCCTGCGATAAATAACATACTCCTGTGATAACAGCATTAATCCATTCATGAAAGTGAAGCCCTCATGACCTAGTCACCTTTTAAAAGTCCCACCTCTTACTGTCATAATGGTAATTAAAGTTCATCAAAATAGTAACTAAAGTTCAACACGAGTTTTCGCAGGAACATTCAAACCATAGGACAGGCTTATTTTTCTGAAATATAAGTCTGATCATATCACTCTCTACTGCCTCTAGGAACAGTCCACTGATGCTTTAGCTTGGGCTACAAAGCTGTTCAGGGCATGCCCCTGGCTTTCTGTGGACTCATTTCTCCCTTTCTCAGCTTGCACTTTATACTTTAGTAACAATACTCTGTTTAGAAATCTCCATACACAAATCACTCTGTGTGTCTGGGCCTTTTCTAATGTCGTTCTTTTCCCTGGAATGTTCTTCCACATGGTTAATACTGTATGATGGTTCTTTAAGATGAGTCTGACATCTTCCTTATTTGCTGGTAAATTAATAAACTTCTCTTTCCTTTACCTCAAACCACTTGTCTTCATTCTTCATTGGCCAAGTACCAAACTTTGAGTAACAATACTTCCTCAGAATTTAACCTCCTCTAGAAAATATTTTCTGAGCCCTCAGGTTGGTCCTGGCATCCCTCATTTCACACTTTCTCTACTAAATTGGAAAGATCCATACTGGTCCATCTCTCCCCCCGGCCAGTGATTCTCAATCTGTAGCCCACA